TTATAGCATAATAATATTCCATTATAATCATATACCACAGTTGTTTAGCTATTCCCCAATTGATGATCATCCTTATAATATTAATTTTACTGCACATAATAAGTTCATGTCTTCACAAGTTTTTCTGAAACCATCCTCATTTATTATTTTATAATAATACTCCATCACAATCATACAACAGAACTTGTTCAGCCATTCATCAACTGATGGACATCTCCTCAATTTCAAATTCTTTGCCACCACAAAAAGAGCTAAAAATATTTTTGTACAAATAGGTCTTTTTCCTTTGTATTTTTAAAATCTCTTTGGAATACTGACCTAGTAGTGGTTATTACTGGATTAAAGGGTATGCAGTTTTATAGCCCCTTGGGCATAGTTCCTAATTGCTCTTCAGAATGATTGGATCAATTCACAATTCCATCAACAATGCATTAGTGTTCCAGTTTTCCCACATCTCCTCCAACATATATAATTTTCCTTTTCTGTGATATTAACCAATCTTATAGATGTGAGATGGTACCTCAAGAGTTGTTTTAATAGTGATCTAGAGCATTTTTTCATGATTATAGATGGCTTTGATTTCTTTGTCTTAAAACTGCCTGTTAACATCTCTTGACCATTTATCAATTGCAGAATGTATGCTTTTTTTAAATTTTTAAATAGAAATTGTTTCTGTATTAAAAATGAAACTGATATTAGCTTTTGCAAATCCATAAATAATTTCATTTTTTCTTTTAATAGTATTTTTTCCAATTACATGTAAAGATAATTTTCAACATTCATTTTTATAAAATTTTGAGTTCCATATTTTTCTCCCTCCTCTCCCCCTTCCCCAAGATGCAAGCAATTTGATATAGGTTATACATGCACAGCCCTGTTAAACATTTCCACATCAGTCATGCTGTGAAAGAAAGAGAACAAAAAGGAAAAGCCACAATGGGGAAAAAAGTGAAAATTGAATGCTTCGATCTGCATTCAGACTCCATAGTTCTTTCTCTGGATGTGGATAACATTTTCCATCGTTAGTCTTTTTGAATTGTCTTGGATCCTTGTATTGCTGAGAAGAGTTAAATCTATCACAGTTGATCACACAATGTCGCTATTACTGTGTACAATGTTCTGTTGGTTCTGCTCACTTCACTCAGCATCAGTTCATGTAAGGAATGACTTGTATTCTTATAAATTTGACTCAGTTCTCTATATATTTGAGAAATGAGACCTTTATCAGAGAGACTTGTTGTAAAAAATTTTTCCCACTTTCTGCTTTCCTTCTAATTGTGGTTGCATTGGTTTTGTTTGTGCAAAAACTTTTAAATTTCATATAATTAAAATTATCCATTTTACATTTTGTAATGCTGTCTCTTGTTTGGTTCTAAATTCTTCCCTTTTCCATAGATCTGACAGCCATGCTCCCCTAATTTGCTTATGGTATCACCCATGTTGGATAAATTGGTCTTTACCTACTTTCTGCCATGCTGTTTTCCAATTTTTGTCAAATAGTAAGTTTTTCTTTCAATAGCTTGTATCTGTGTTATCAAAAACTAAATTACTATGGCCTTTTATTATAGTGTATTGTGTAGTTAACTTATTCCCCTTATCCACCACTCTATTTCTTAGTCAGTACCAAATTGTTTTGATGATTACCACTTTATAATACAGTTTGAGATCTGGTACAGCTAGGGCACCTTCCTTCACATTTTTTTTTTTGTTAATTCCCTTGATATTCTTGACCTTTTGTTCTTCCAGTTGAATTTTGTTATTATTTTTATAGTTCTGTAAAATAATTTTTGGTAGTTTTATAAGGCACAAATAAGTAGATTAATTTAGGTAGAATTGTTATTTTTGTTATATTGGCTGGTCCTAACCATGAACAATTAATATTTTTCCAATTGTTCAGAAAGACTCACTCAGGATTATCATAAACACTTAAGTAATAAGGGACATATATATAGCATTTTATATACATGACCTCATCTGAGCCTTACTATAACCCTTTGAGCTAAATATTGCTGGTATTATGATTACCATTTTACAGTTGGGAAAATTGACACACAAAGAGCTTAAGGTCATGGTTACATGGCTACTCTTTATTAAAGGCAAGAAACAATTTCAAGTCCTTCTAACTCCAAG